AATTACGTATCACCCTCACACATACACACACACTCAAAAACAACTAAAACTCCTCTGACATGGCATCAGATAGAATGCACAGCATGAAACAGCCAGCTCCAAACTGTCACACCACAAGCCTGTCGAGAGCTCACCTGTCTGGCCGTCCAGTCGCCCCCCCTGCCCGCCTGGACACTGGTGGGCAGCCCTGATGCCTGGAGACGTGGGGACCGGCCTCTAGCCTCGCTGAGCTTCAGCGCAAGCCCTGAGCCATCCAACCCTGTGGCGCCTGGGAGATGCCAACACGCACAGTTAGCACCTCCGACGGGACCGCGGCGAGCGGGCTGAGCTAGCCGGTCTGCTCCTGGGTTGCCCGCTGTCTACATGCCCACTCCCGTGCAAACACCGCGACACCCGGCGCTGCCCCAGAGGCCTGCAGGGCTCCCTGGGCTCTGGCGGCCTCGCTCCTACTGCAGTAGTCACTGTCTGAGGCGCGCAGGAGCCGCAGCGCCCGAACACGACCTGCGGCCGGGAGCGGAGCAAGAGGGCTGGCGGCCCGGGCGCTGCAGACGTCAGGGCCCGGCGCTGCGCCCCAGCCGAGGCTCCGCGGGGGACAGCGGGGGTGGGCCGGGCCGGGCCGGGCCGGACTGGGCAGAGCGGGCGCGCAGCCCGAGCGTGACCCCGCCCTACCGGCCCGGGTCCGCCCCGCCTCCTGCCACCCCATCCCCCTTCCTCGGGAAGCCGCCCCGGGCCCCGACTGAGGCCAAACCCTAGTGCCCCCGTCGACCCCTCCACTTGCCCGTAAGTTTGCGTCCCGCCCGTTCGGCGCGGGAGCTCCGGGGGCCCGAGAAGCGCCGATTCTATCTGCTAGTGACCTGCCAAGCGGCCTCGGTGTGCGCGGCAGCCTGCCCGTGGCCCCTCTGCCGCTCAGCGCCCGCCAGCCAGGCCGCCCAGCCGCGCCGAGACCACCGGCCGAGGCAGGCGAGGACCCCAAGCTCGGGGCTCTTGGGGCCGCCGCGGAGCCTGTCGGGAGTTGTAGTCTGCAGTCCGCTGGGGCCGGAGCTAGAGGGGAAGGGTCCGAACCACAACTCCCAGGAGAACCCGCGGCGGTGGTGACGCACGCGGCCGCAGGAGGCGGGGCGTGCGGGAGGGAGTCCCGGCCAGTGACCTGACAGAGACGGGGAAGCCTGCTGCACTGCTCCCGGGAAAGGCGCGAGCTCGGCTCCCCGCCAAACGCGGACGGAAGGCGCGTACACATCGGGCAGCGTGTGCCACACGTCGTCGAAAGGCTGCGGCGGCCTCGGCGCACTTCGCACCACGTTGCGGGCCGAGGGCGCGGAGCTAAGCAGCGTGCGCCTGGACGGGAAGGGGCCGGGCTCCTCGTCCAGGTAGGCGCGGGGACCCTCGCGCCCCGGAAGCCACCGAGGACCGAGCTCGTGCGGGCCGAGCAAGGTGGGCCACTCTGCCGGGGCCGGGAGGTCAGCCCCGCCGGGGCGCTGAACTTGAGGCCACGCCCCCGCGAGGGGGCGTGACGCTCGCCGGAAGCTCGTCGACCTCGCGCCGGCCCTACGTGGCGCGGCTCCGTGCGAGGACGCGGCCCGTTGCCATGGAGACGGAGGCTGCGGCGGGCCGCGGAGGCCTCACCAACGACTCCTTTGACTTGATTGGTTTTAAAAATCAGAATAACGCCAGTCTGAGCCGTACTCCTCGCGGAACCGAAGCCCGAGCGAAACGCGGCGGGCCCCTGCGCTTCTCCCCGGCAAGTACGTTGGGCGCTCTTAGCTTCCTGGTGACGGAAAGCCGCGTGTGTGAAGCGGCCGCTGCTAGGCTCTGACGCGGCCGCGTGACAGGTTTCTGCGGGCCCCGCCGTCCCCGCAGCTCCGCCACGCCCGCGTGGCCGCGCGTGGCCCGGTGTCCCCGGGGCGGCAGCTGTCGGTCCGCTTTCTCCACCTCTCGCCGGCTCCCGCGGCCCCCCTGGCGCAGCCTCTGCTCTGGTCTCTCTTCGTCTTTTGTCACGCTCACATGTCTTCTTTTCCAGACGTTCGAACATTTTTGCCACACGCCTGTCAATAACGTTTTCCCTCGGCTCAAGCTCCTGGATACCTCCCTCCAGTGCGCCCTGTCCCTTGTTCCAGTCCAGCCGGGTTGCTCCCCAGACCTGCTGCCCAGTCTCCCCCACCCCCACCCCCCCACCCCCGCTAGAGCTGTTCTCCGCTGTCATCCTTGTGGTCTCTGGGCTGCAGTTCTTGTGTCCTGGCACCCCTGCCATCTCCATCTCCCTTCTTGGTTTACGCTCTCATTTTGCTCAAGTCAGCCCTCCGGAGCTTTCTGGAAAGGGCGCATGTCTGAAAGGTGTTTGTTCTATGCCTGTCTCTGATCGACAGTTTGGCAGAGTCTAGAATTCTAGTTTGGAAAGACTTTATCTTCAGATTTTCTGACGTCACATATTTTGCTTCCAGCTTCCAGGGACACTGTTGAAAAGTCCAAAGCTATTCTGATGCCTGGTCAGTGGTCTGCCCTCTGTAGGTTCTCTCTCTGAAAGTGGTTAGGATCTTCTCCATATCCTTGGTGCTCTGAAATGCCATGGAGATACACCTTGCTGCCTCTCCCGACTGTACTGAGCACACCATTCTCTTCATTCTGGAGGCTCTTAGCCTTCCTTCGGTCTGGGAACTTCATTGTTGTTGTTTTTTTTATAAGTTTCTGTATTTATTCTGAGAGAGAGACAGCGTGCATGTGGGGGAGAGGCAGAGAGAGAATCCCAAGCAGGCTCTCTGCTGTCAGTGGGCAGCCCAACTCGGGGCTCGATCTCACAAACCATGAAACTGAGCAGAAATCAAGGGCCGGTTGCCTAACCGAGCTTAACCCACTGAGCCAGCCAGGTGCCAATTTGGGGAACTTTTTTAAAAAAATCCTTCTCGGGGCGCCTGGGTGACTCAGTCGGTTGAGCATCCGACCTCAGCTCAGGTCATGATCTCACGGTCCATGAGTTCGAGCCCTGCGTCGGGCTCTGTGCTGACAGCTCAGAGCCTGGAGCCTGCTTCAGATTCTGTGTCTCCCCCTCTCTCTCTCTCTGACCCTCCCCCGTTCATGCTCTGTCTCTCTCTGTCTCAAAAATAAACAAACATTAAAAAAAATTTTTTTTAAATCCTTCTGTTTTTCTGTGTTTGCTCTCGATGGGATTCCTATTACTCAGAAAACCTAGTGTTTTTCTGGTTGATATCCTTAAATTTACCATCCATCCGTTCTGTCGATTGGTTAAGTTCTGTGATTCTGTGACTTATAATAAGAAATGTGCATTTGGTTTTCATCCCGTTTCTGGCACAGAGCTCCTAAAACCTTTGAATTTCCTAAGCGAAAAGAGTCACAAAAGGGGTATTTTGATACAACAAGCCTCTTTGAACCACACTTGAGCTTCTGTTAGTAAGGTGGCTTTTGGAAAAACTCTGTTAACCTTGAAAATCTGCAAAAATGGGTAACATTTTTGGGGTATTTGGGGTATTTGGGGTAACAGAACTGTAATTCAGGATAGGCAAGTTATGGCAAAACCACAGGCAAGTCCAGAGAACAAAGAAGAGGAGCATTATTTTATGGAGAAAGGGGAAGTTAGGGGAGTTGTTTGGAAACAAAGCCCACTGGAGAGAAGCAGGGGTCCAGGGGGATGAGGTTTCTCACTGGCCGAGGGGCAGGTGTGGTGGACTTCCGGTAGGAGCCGCAGCGCACATCTTTTCCTGTTGGAGCCTATAATTGATGTCCTTCCTGTTGGTTCTTCCCTTGGGGAGACACTTCTCTCTCTCTCTCTCTCTCTCTCTCTCTCTCTCTCTCTTCTAAACATGAGCTTTGTTTTTTTAATGTTTGTTTATTTTTGAGAGAGTGCAAGCAGGAGAGGGGCAGAGTTAGGGGGATGAGGCAGACCCCACACTGACAGCAGTGAGTCTGATGCGGGGCTCCAACTCCCGAACTACGAGATTATGACCTGAGCAGAAGTCAGACCCTCAACTGACTAAGCTACCCAGGTGCCCCAGGGGAGACATTTTTTCTTATAATTGACACTGAATGGTGGCTCCCCCTTCCAGCCTTTCCTTTTAGCATCCCCAGTCCACTTTAGTGAGGTTTCCCTTTATTCATTTCACGCTCCTAGGGGTGAGGGCTGGTTGCCAGGGGGACCAACCATGCGATTGGTCAGAACTCAGCCTCACCCCCTGACCTCCGGGGAGGGGAGAGGGGCCGGGGTTGGGCCCATTCTCCAATGGCCAAGGACTCATCAGTCACGCCCCTGTTACGAAGTCTCCACACAAACCCAAAAGGACCACGTCTGGAGAGCTTCTGGTTGGTGACACGGGGAGCTGGCCTGGACGGAGCACGGACACCCCGCCCCCTTCCCCCAGCCCTGGCCCCGTGCACCTCCTCCATCCGGCTGTTCCTGAGTGATCTCCTTTTATCACAAACCAGGAATCCGGGAAATTAAATATTTCCCTGAGTCCTGTGAGCCGCTTTAGCAAATTAATTGAACCCAAGGAGGAGGTTGTAGGAACCTTTAATTTTTAGCCAGTTGGTTAGAAACACAGGTGAGGGGCGCCTGGGTGGCGCAGTCGGTTGAGCGTCCGACTTCAGCCAGGTCACGATCTCGCGGTCCGTGAGTTCGAGCCCCGCGTCGGGCTCTGGGCTGATGCCTCAGAGCCTGGAGCCTGCTTCCGATTCTGTGTCTCCCTCTCTCTCTGCCCCTCCCCCGTTCATGCTCTCTCTCTGTCCCAAAAATAAATAAACGTTGAAAAAAAATTAAAAAAAAAAAAAAAAAAGAAACACAGGTGAGACCCTGGGCTTTCAACTGGCATCTAAAGTGTTGTGTGTACGTGGGGCGGGGTGGGGGGAACCGTCCTGTGGGACTGAGCCGTTAGCCTGTGGGATCTGACACTGTCTCCAGGTAGTGTCAGAATGGAGTTAAATTGGATCTTGTCTTGGTCTTGAAGAAGTAGAAGCCCTGAAAAGGTGAGAGAGGCGTTACAGGAAACGTAGCAGCAATGCGGTCCAGCACCAGAGAGGCCGTGAGCGACCTGGTTGCCGTGCTTCCGAAATGTCGTCTGGACCAGCCTATATGTAAATGGAAGGTGCTGAGGAAAGTAAATGCATTTGAGAAGTGAGAATATGGGGTCGAGGACGTCAGCCTTGGCAGCAACAGCCCCTGAAGCAACCGCAACGGATGCTGCTGTTCCAGCCCCGGTAAGCATCCAAACCGACCAGACTCTATAGTGGCTCAAGCGTGGATTGACCAAAGAGAAGCTTCAGGAGAGCAAACCGCTGTGGTGGACCAGCTCGGAATGATGCCAAGTGGACAAGATTGTCCACGATGAAATCTGGTCCAAACAGTTGTGGGTGTTTTCAAGGGGATTCGGAGTTTAACAGAATGTGGCAACCACAAAGAAGAACGTACCTACCCCCCCCCCCCGCCCCCGAAACAGTCATCAGCACCAGGCCCAGCGGACAGTGCTCCCGGAGACAGCTGCAGTCAAGACGCGGCGGATTATTGCCGCTGACAACAGGCATGCCGTTACCCAGAACAATCAGCTTTGGTGGGCCACCCGTTAACTTTGCACTGGGGCCAGTATACCAGTTGGACTGTCAGCATGGGGCTGCTTTTGGTCCCCTGTCAGGTAGCTTTCCTCCTCCCCGTTGGCAGTCTGAACCGCCAGGATCTCTGGCCCCGCCTAGAAACGAAAACAAAGGCCGTCATCACTGGGGACCGGCAGGGCTCACCTATGGCCTCCCTGTGAAGCAGGAGCCTCCACAAGTTGCCGCAGGGAGACACAGGACTCTTCCAGCGTGGATTCAAGAAGGTTTTGAAAGAGATGGAACGTGGGGCGCCTGGGTGGCGCAGTCGGTTAAGCGTCTGACTTCAGCCAGGTCACGATCTCGCGGTCCGGGAGTTCGAGCCCCGCGTCGGGCTCTGGGCGGACGGCTCGGAGCCTGGAGCCTGCTTCCGATTCTGTGTCTCCCTCTCTCTCTGCCCCTCCCCCGTTCATGCTCTGTCTCTCTCTGTCCCAAAAATAAATAAACACTGAAAAAAAAAATTAAAAAAAAAAAAAAAAGAAAGAGATGGAACGTGAAGAGAAGTTGGAGAAAGGAAGAGTGGAACGAGAGTGTTCACAAGCGTCCAGAGGGAGAAAAGGCCACAGAAGAGGCTGGCAGAGGAGGCGGCTTGTGTTTACCTGGGAGAAGTACATTTGTAATGATGGGTAAGAGCAAGACGCTGAAAATGCTTCAAGCAGGGAAGCGCCACCAGAGGTCACGCCCAGTTCCCAAGAAGAGCAGAGAGAATCAAACGAGGCCACTGGCAAAAATCCTTCTGCCTGAAATTCGCCTGGGCGCCACAGATGAAGTGTGGCACGGAGCCAGAGACGCACCCTGCCGGCAACAAAAGCCCCCGCAAAGCTGACCCAGGCCGGGCGCTGGCTTCCCTCCGTGGGAGGGCGACAGTGCCTCTGGGTCAGGAGACCGATGGCCAGGCCACGACAGGCATCCGCCTGCCCGGGGAACTTCTGGTGCTGGATCCAGCCGAAACAGGAACCTTTCTGGAGAAAAGAAAAACAGTAGCTGTTACTTAATAAACCAAGAGAAGAAAAGCAACAAACAGAAAACACGGATGAAAAGTCCATAAAGAGCCAAGTCGCCTGTCGCCACTGGAAGCAGGAGAAGCACACAGTGATGTGGTTAAAGGAAGGGACCCCCAGTGAAACACCATTGTTAGAATCGGGGGGGGAAAGGGCATGAGAGAAGTGAGGAAGGAGCACATCACATCTCCAGCTCTTCACACCATTCCAGAAGGGGGACTCTCCAGGTAGGTGTCACACTTCTAGATGTTCTCCCCTTCAAGGAAGACGAGACGTGGTAGGAGCTGCTCTTCAACTATGAAAGCTACACGTAGTAGGAGTGCAAGTAACTCCCCGAGAACGACAGTCTTGAACAGTAGGAGTAAAGATCGGAGAGAAGGCCAAGGGCATCACGGACCTTTCCTAGAGAGGCAAAGAGGAACTCGCTGAGGGGACAGGCGTACCGACCGGCCCGGGGGCAGAGGAGCTGATATGGGTGTAACATTGATGACCAGGGTGGACGTCCCAGTGGGAGCAGCCATAGCACAAAGACCAGTCGCCCTCCCTGTCATGAGTGCTGGAGAAGGACGAGGCAACAAGGGCATGATGTTTAAAAAAGTCCATGAGTTTGGGGTGCCCGGGTGACTCAGTTAAGTGTCTGACTCTTGATTTTGGCTCAGGTCATGCTACCACGTTTTGTGGGTTCGAGCCCCACATCAGGCCCCCGCGCTGAGCATGGAGCCTGCTTAGCATTCTCTCTCTCTGCCTCTGCCCCTCCTCCACTCTCTCTCTGTGTCTCTCTCTCTAAAAAAAAAAAAAAATGTCCATGAGTTCTAAGGGCTTGTACCCCCAGCAGAGGCACTTTGTGGCTGTGTATGTGAAACCATAATCTTTTTTTAAGAACCTATGAGTGGGTGTGCTTTTCCCCAAATACTCTCCAAGTTACTTAAGATTTCTTTGTATTGCATTTAAAAAGAAATGGTGGGGCGCCCGGGTGGCTCAGTCAGTTAAGCGTCCAACTTCGGTTCAGACCATGATCTCACAGTTCATGAGTTCAAGCCCCGCATCAAGCTCTGTGCTGACAGCTTGGAGCCTGGAGCCTGCTTCAGATGGTGTGTCCCCCTCTCTCTCTCTCTGCCCCTTCCCCACTCGCGCTCTGTCTCTCTTTCTCTCTCTCTCTCTCTCAAAAATAAACATTAAAAAAAAATTTTAAGAAATGGTGCAGAGGCACCTGGATGGCTCAGTCAGTTGAGCGTTGGACTCTTGATTTCGGCTCATGTCGGATCCCAGGGTTGTGAGACGTTGGGTGCCTCACTGACAGATTGGAGCCTTCTTGAAGTTCTCTCTCTCTCTCTCTCTCTCTCTCCCTCTCTCCCTCTCTCTCTCTCTCTCTCCTTCCCTCCCTCCCTCCCCCCCTTCCCCCTGTCCCTCCCCCGATTACATGGATGTCCCCTCTCTCTCAAAAAATAGTACAATCAGACTTTAAACATGCCATTCTTTTTCAGCTGTAATATTCTTAAAATTATTCTGGAATTTACTCTTAGTTCATTTTTGCTAATTTTGTCTTCTCTTCTAGTTGTCTGTCCCCAGTGAGCGTCCGCTGCAAGGCACAGAGCTGCGTGGTGGTGCTGGAAAAGACACGCCGGAAGCTCTCACATGTTTTATCTTTCCGACTTCATGTTCATTTCTTCTGATTCTTTTTCTTGGATAATATTCTCTCATAAGTGTAATTTTTTCTCACTTACAGAGAAATTAGAATTATAATTTCTGCAATTATAGATTTTTTTAATGTTTGTTTTTGAGAGAGAGAGAGAGCACACGAGCGGGGCTCTAACTCATGAACCTTGAGGTCATGACCTGAGCCGAAGTCAGAGGCTTAAATGACTGAGCCACCCACACACCCCAATTACAGATTTTTAAAGCCTATTTTTTCTGCTGCACTCTCTTCAGTCCAGTTTCCTTTCCTCTGTGTGCTTCAGTCTCTCCACTCCATGTTGAAAACTTCCCTCAAATGTCTGATGAGCCTTCTTTCCCTGCTTGAATGTGGGAGACACCGCAGTGGGTAGGCTCGGGCTCAAACAAGCGTGTCCCCAGCCTCCAAGCAAAAGTGGTTAAAACAAGACAGAGGGTGGTTGCTCCCGTCAGTGGGGGGCCGAGGGCTGGGGTCAGGGTTCCCCAATCTTCAGGGACCCCATCTTTTCCCCTTTGCTGTTCCACCGCCCTCACGGGCCACGACGGCCTCCCAGGCTGCGGCTCTCGTGCCTGCGAGCCCGCCGGAAAGGAAGAAGGGTCAGGAAGGTGAGACCCTGGAGCCGGTATCCATGTGCCAAGTCCATGGACCAGAACTTGGCACACGCAGCTGCAAGGAAGGCTGGAAGGCAGAGTTTTTGTGGGAGACACGTTTCCAGGTAAAGCAGCGCCGGCGTGACTTAGAAATAAGGGAAGAGAGACGCCTGGGGGGCCCAGTCCATTAAGCCGCCTACTTTGGCTCGGGTCATGATCTCACGGTTCGGTTTGTGAGTTCTGGTCCCCTCGCTCCCTGCCCCTCCCCCACTCACTCTCTCTCAAAAGTAAACATTGAAATGAAAAGAAGAGCAGAATGGATCTTGGGAATAACTGGCAGTCTCAGCACTTCAAAGCTGACCGGGGGCTCTGCTTGCCTGAGCTCGCCGTCCCGAGGTCGTCCAGGGTCCTGCTGGGCGAGCTGGTGAAGCCTCCACAGCCTGTAGCAGAACATCTTTTCTCTTTCTCCTGGGACCGTTCACTTCTGCCCTTGGAGAGCATGCCTGGCAGGGGGGAAAGAAGCTTGGAAATCACGCCCCACAGGGTGCAGATTTCCACCTAACCTCCCTCCACAATTCAAGTCAAATCATCAACGTCGGTATTTTCTCAGGGCTCACTGCACGGCAGGCAGTGTTCTAACTGCCTTGTGTGTTTTCACACATAGTTCTTGCTCAGCCCAACAAGCTGGGTGATATCTCCAGTCCTGTTTTATAGATAAGGACACTGAGAGTTGGGGCAACTGGGCGGCTCTGTCGGTTGAGCATCCGACTTCGGCTCAGGTCGTGATCTCACCATTCGTGAGTTCGAGCCCCACGTTGGGCTCTGTGCTGACAGCTCAGAGCCTGGAACCTGCTTTGGATTCTGTGTCCCTCTCTGCCCCCTGCTCATACTCTGTCTCTCTCTCTCTCTCTGTCTCAAAGATTAATAAAACATTAAAAAAAATTTTTTAAATAAATGTATGTTACCAAAAAAAGATAATTCAAAGTCATACATTTAAAAAAGAACAGGGGCACCTGGGTGGCTCAGTCAGTTAAGCGTCCAATCTTTGATTTTGGCTTGGGTTGTGATCTCACGGTTCCTTACATCGAGCCCACGTTGGGCTTCGAGCTGACAGCGCAGAGCCTGCTTGGGATTCTCTCCCTCCCTCTCTCTCTGCCCCTCCCCTGCTCACTCGAGCTCTCTCTCTCTCAAAATAAACTTTTTTTAAAAAGCAAGAATACCCAGAACACTTATGAAAAACAAAATGAAGGGGTTATGAGCCCTAGCAGATGGTAAAGCATATTCGGATCCAAATACTTAAAACCGTGTGCAACAGAGCAGAACCCAGCAATACTGCATGGGACTCCTCTAGGGATTCCTCCCACACCATAAGCCATTTAATAAGCTGATTGGAGGCTTGTGCCTTACACCAGAACCAATCCCAAGTTGATCAAAATCAGACCTGGAATAAATAAAACCAAAACAGCACAGGGGGTGGGGGACAGGGAACCAAAGGAGAATCCACACCTTTTTTTTCCCCTAAAGATTGGATTTTTAAGTAATTTCTGCACCTAACATGGGGCTTGAACTCACAACCCTGAGATCCAGGGTCAGATGCTTAACTGACTGAGCCACCCAGGCTCCTAAGGATCCTTCTTTAACATCAAGCTGGAAGGCTTTTCTAAATATGACCCCAAATCCAGAAATGATAAAGGGCGTTACGTTTTACCACATACACATAAAGCATTTTTGCCTGGTGGAACCGTTACAAGCAGATCCAAAAGGCCACAAACTGGGAGAGGTGTTTGCAACTTAACATTACAGATAAAAGGCTGGGGCGACACAAATTGGTAAGATGGAGAGGAAATGGGTCAAGGACACAAAAAGGACAGAAAAAACATTTTTAAGTGGAGGTTCCTGTAGTTTTTTAAAGTCAAGGCCCCCCCCCCCCCCAACACACACACACCCGGGACGCTTCCAAAAGGGGGAGGCTGCTGGGCCCCACGTCCTGGCGCCTGTGCAGTACCCCGCACGGCCGGTAGGTGGCGATGCCCAGCGCTGCGCCCCCTCCCGGAGCAGGCGTGACGCGCTCGCTCGGGGTCCTGAAGCCCAGTTAGTTCCATTGCTTCCAGGGCATCTTGGCACAGGTGCACATGGCGTCCGTTCTAGGGCTGCGTGTGCGGCAGTGTGGACGGTATCAAACCACGGAAGCAGCTTGCCATCAACAGGGCGCTGCCACGTAGCTCCCGCGTGCATCTCAAAGGCATATCATCAAGGAGAGAAGGCAAGAGGAGAGAGCATTTAGTATGCTACGACTGTAAACGGGCCTGCACACCCTTATCTGCTGACACGCTAACCGCCTGTGGAGGGAAACACGCATTGCTGACCACGGTGGCTGGCTGGGCCGTAGGACAAGGTTCACCATACTCATGTTGTATATGTGAGTCAGGTTTTGCCTCTGCGAGCAAAAAAAAAAAAAAAAAAAAAAAAAAAAAAAAAAAATCAAATAATGAAATAAACCAACAATTAGGAAAGCAGAGTCCTGTTTTCACTAACAAGGTGGGTTCCGGCACTTGAAAGCCCTCAATGAAACGATGGGAAATCTGTGCAAAATATAAACAGATGGCCACTGGAGTGTGGCACTTCAGATGGAGAAGTGCACGTGTGCAAAAGGGCAGCCCTGAGCCGGAACCGTGGGAGCTGAAAAGAGGCCTGCCGCCCTCCCTCCCGAAGGCCAGTCCCAGCTGAACTTCCCCAAGTCAAGTCCCTCCTGACTCCACAGGAGGCCTGGGAAACCATGTGTTCCTGTCACAGAAGCGGTTCCCCGGGTTCTTGGTCACAGCCCCAGGCTGTGGTCCCCACCTTGCCTTGCCAGCCTCCGGTGCCTCACACTGACCCCTCACCAGGAGCTGGGTCCCAGGGCTGTGTCTAGGCCCCCCAGGCACAGCTGGAGGCAAGGGACGGCGGGACCCGCTACCCACCGTGCTGCCTCTGAGGCCCCTCTGGACCCAGCCGGGGTGTGGGAGGTGGGACCGGGCAGAGATGCTCAGATCTGCAGGGAGGAGCCGTCGGGCCGAAAGAATGACCTGGGGGTCCTAGGAAAGAGAAGGGGTCCGTGGAGGAGGAGGAGGTGAAGTCGGTGAGGTTGGCAGGGCCCGCTTAGGACCTCCAGGTCACCCATCCAGGGGACTCCGAGGTGCACAGTTAGAAAATAGGTGTGTCGATGTTTAGGCAGGAGTTTTCCTGGCTCCAGTGGCCTTGAAGTTCGGGGGACTCCTAGCCTCGGGCAAGGCTGGATCCAGAGACTCGGAGCAAAGAGTCTGTCCAGGTTGCTTGCACTTCTCAGGGGTCGGCTTCGTTCTCAGACCAGCTCTTCCCACACCTCATTAGGGCTGCAGCAGCTGGCAGTCCGTCCCCTCCAGCGGAGCAAATGCCCCTTCCCGCTCCCTTCGGCAAAGGCCTCGAGGCCAAGGGGATCATCGTCTGAGAGACCAGGCCCGGGTGCCCCGCCAGCCCGTGGGCGGGAGAGGGAGGGTGAGGATGGAGAAAGGAGGTTCCCAAAGAGAAATGAGGGGTCACTACTCCTGGAAGTCAGAAGGGGGGGCAGGTGGGCACCACTGGGGTTTCAGCTTCAGTTGGCATCTCTCTCACTTCAGCCTGGCTGCACCCCAGTGGCCAGCCTCCGTGCCTGCAGAGCCCAGGCTCCTTCCCCTGGTTTCCCACGAGCCTGCCCAAGAAGGTGACCCCAGGCAGAAGTGGGGGCCACCTATTCCGGCCCACCCCACCCCGCCTCTCCTGGGGGTCCTGAAGGAGGTTGGTGAAAGGAAAGCTGGTGTGTGTGTGTGTGTGTGTGTGTGTGTGTGTGCTTTTGGCGGGGGGGGGGGGACTTTGAGCGATGGGCCACGTGGTCTGTGCACGGGAGGCAGGGGGCTAAGCTGATGGATGTGCACGGGTCCTGCCCACGTGCCTTTTCTGCTGGCGGGGAGGCCACCGGAGCCACACTCAGCTACCTGGGGAGGGAGCGTGCTGACCCTCGACCTCCTCCTCCCCTCCCCTTCATGGAGCAGAGATTACAACAGGCCCAGATGCTCCCACAAGCCCCATTAGCCCTTATATTTCTGGGCAGGGGGCGGCTGAAGGGGGTTCTCATTGGAAGTTCCCAGGACTGGTGGATCCAGGATCACAGATGGACTGCCTCTGGGGGGCCAGAGGAAAGGGCCCCAATCCTTCCACTTTCCCCTCAGGCTGTGGCTGGTGGCAACACAGAGCCACGCCCTGGGACTGGGTGTCAGGAAGAGTACAGTAGCTATTCTGCTGGCCATTGGCAGGGGCAGCCATGGAGGTGGGTGTGGAGGTTGATGCGGGGTATAGGCTGGTTGGTGTCCCTTGTGGTCTCTGGGGACAGTTCCTTTGCTTCCAGGGCCCAGAACTTCACATGGGAAGAAAGCCTTTCTCACGTCTGCCCTCCCCAATCCTGCTGCATCTCAACAGAACTCACACAGGGACACGCGGGCACAGGCCTCCCCTCCCTCACTGGCTCTTTGCCCACAGTAGGCAGGATGCCCTGGACGGAGCAAATGCCCATGTGGGGGGACAGCAGAGCCTTCAGCCTCATGGTCAACCCTTCCACCCGGCCAGGAGTTGCCCTGACCAGGAAAAGCTCTGCAGTGGTGAGCCCCCAGCCTCAGAACAGGCTCAGGTCACGGACACCAGAGTCCCCAGAGAGGCATCAGGCTGGATCTAACCAGATCTCCACCTCGCCACTTTGCAAAATGCTGAACGGCCCTCCTATTTCTGCCTGGCTCTTCTCCGTGGGGTGGACCGGCAGATTGGCTACCCGTAGGTCCTCAGGCCCAGAGATGCCACAGTAGTGGAGATTTGGGCCACTGGAGAGAACGGGGCCTCCCCCACCCCCACACTGTCGCCTGGGGCAAAGCGACTGCAGGAGCTTCAGGCTTCCGTGGGAAACCGCAGCCCAAGGAGCTCGGGGTAGGGACATAGAAGTTCCTAGATCATCATCACTTTCTGCTTCCCTGTGGAAGCGCTCAAGTCCCCCACCGAGCTGGGGCAGTCCGAGCCCAGGGCCCTCCATGCCAACAACCACCCCTCCCCAAATCTACCCACAACCCTTCCCCACGAGGTGTAGAGGCCTGGGGAGACCCTTGCAGGGTCCCAACCAGCTGGAGGGGCCTGGTGTTGGGGCCAGGGTCCTCCAGGCTGGTAATGAGGCATGCTGGGTACAGGGCTTCTGACCCTCGGCCTCAGGTTTTGGTAGAGGCCTTGAGATCTAGCGCTGCCCTAGGACTTTCTGGGATGACCAGGAATTATTAAGGCTGGGGGTGGGGAGCAAGGATTCTGTGAGTGCTGCAGCCCACATAGTCCCTCCTCTCTCCCCCAGGTGAAAACAGCACGTGGGAGGCGCTACAGGGAACACAGGGTCCATGAGACAGTTGCCAGGGACTTCCTGTCACCTCCCTTCCCAGGGCAGAGTAGCCCCTCAGACAGAGACATGTCCCCTGCACCTGACGTGTTTCTGCTTCAGGTCCCTTCAGGTCAGGCGGACCCCCCAGCCCTGGAGGGGTGTCCTGAGAACCGGGTCCTCTAGGCAGGGACAGCACTGAGGGGCTGCTGTCTTGGGCTGGTCCTGAAGACAAGAGTAGGAGGAGGTATGTGTCCGTCCTTCCCCGGGGATGCTCCAGGTGAACTTGTTGGGGGCTGTTCCCTTTGCCCAGCCCTGACCCCCTCCCCAGGGCATGGGGGGAGGGGGGCTAGCCCAGGGTCATGCGTGTGAAGGGAAGAGAGAAGTAGAGGACTGATTAGAGCAGGGGATGCTCTTTGATGAGAAGCTCCATTCAAGTTTTCATCAAAGGAATCCTCGTCTCTCCGGTGCCCCTCCCGCGTGGGCGCTGCCTGGTCTCTAACCCGGTGAAGTAAGGTGTCCGTCTTCGGCCCCTCCTCGTCACTGCAGGCCGACCCTTACCCTGGGTCCCCACCGCGTATCTGGGGAATGGGGCAGCCTAGGGCAGAGTGACCCGGACTCCTCAGCGTTCCACGGCGCTGCCTCCTCTCCCTGTCCGGAGGCGCTGCCAAGGGCGGTCGAAGAGCGGCTCTCGGAGGCCACCACTACCCGCCCCATCCCCCCCACCCCGGTCCCCAGAGAGCCTTCGGAGAGGCCTAGAGGGGGCGAGGAACGGGCGGAGAGCCGCTCACTCGGCGACAAAAGAAGGGACAGGCGGCGTGGGCCGCGCGCGCGCGCGCGGGGCCCGTCGCATCTCACCCCGCCCCACGCGCGGGGCCGGGATC